AATGAATAAAAGGCGGTGGGATAAAGTCACTAATTCAAATATAAACACAAGTAAACGGTGGTAATGGACCTGGACCTGGAACACAGGTAGCACACAAGGGATTTATAAGTCCAAAATTCAGTATAAATGAATATATACACAATGAATAAAAGGCGGTGGGATACACTCACTAATTCAAATATAACCAGATGTAAACGGTGTTAATGGACCTGGACCTGGAACACAGGTAACAGACGCAGAGCTTTACTGTTCGCTTTAGTTTAGTTTAGTTTTATTAGGATCCCCATTAGCTGCCAAATAAAGGGCCTCTAGTCTTCCTGGGGTCCTCACATGAAAAAATTACATTACATTATGAACAAACCATTAAAAAAAATCACAGTAGGAAATAATAAAAACATAAAGAAGAGTAGAAATATACAACATATATATATATATACACATGAAATAATTACATTACATTATGAACAAACCATTAAAAAAAATCACAGTAGGAAATAATAAAAACATAAACAAGAGTAGAAATATACAACATATATATATATATACACAGGTCAGTTCAACGTATCATCTGCAGTATTTCTGAAGACAGTATCTTTTTGAAGCTTGTTCTGTTCTGAACTCTTCGTGTGGTTATTGGCAGTTGGTTCCAGTGACATAATAATAATCTATAATGCACTGTGGATTTTAGATAGTTTGTTCTGGGTCGAGGGAGTTTAATGTCTCCACCTCGTGCCCACCTTGTTAAATAATTTGGGACATAGAAGGAGTTTATATGTCCAAAACTCAGTATAAATGCAGCTATGAATATATACACACAGTAAGTACAAGTGAGTAAAGTAAAATGAATGATCGGCAGTGTGATAAAGTCACTAATTCAAATATAAACGGAAATAAACGGTGTTAATGTGACTCATAGAGTTGTAGGTGAAGAGTCATGTCATGTGACATGTGGGGAGGGGGGGGTCAAGGTGGGTCAAGGTTAGTACCTTGTGTTTTGTATTTATTTACATTCAAATATTTTAATTGGGTTTTGAATTGTACAAAGAATTAACTCAGCAATCCCAACATAAACAATAGTAAAATGATAATAACACCGAAAAAAATAAATAAAGGAAAATGCAAACAAAAAGAAGATAAAATTAAAAAATAATTAAAAAAAACATTTTTTTAAAGGTGGGTTGTTTTTTTGTTGTTTAAAAAAAATTATATTCAAATATTTTTTAGTGGGTTTTGAATTGTACAAGGAATTAACAAATCTCCAAACAACAACCCCAACATAATAATAACAATAGTAAAATGACAATAACAATAAATAAATAAATAAATAATTAATTACATAAATCCATAAATAAATAAATCCATAAATGCATAAATAAATACATAAATAATACAAATTAAATAAAAATAAATAAATAAATTGAATAAATAAAATAAATTTAAAAAAAGACCGAATAGGAAGATAATAAAAAAATAAATAAAATAAAAAAAAGTTAATTAAAAAGAAAATTAACTAGGTGGGCTCCTGGTTGAGGCCAGTGGCAGGCTTTGGTCCTGGTGGGCCTCAGAGGGTTTGTGACCGGGTGGGGGGGCTCTGTCTGGATCTTTGCTGATCTTTTGCTGTCCAGCAGGCCTGGAGGTCCTTTATCCCTGTTTGCTGTCTGTCATGTCCGCCCCCCCCCTGCAGAAAACTGTGTGGAGTTCCAGCGGAGGAACACCTCAGCGAACCAGACTCTGGATCCCAACATCACCTCCCCCGTCATGGAGTTCTGGGAGTGAGTCTTTAACTCATTGGCTGCCAAAGACGTCTATAGATGTTTTTTATGTTTTTCAACGAGAGTGTCTGGGGGACGATCGGCTAAAGCTTGTCCGTAAATATCGGCTTCTAGACAGAGTATGTAGTAACAAATTGACCCTCTAGGGGG